GACCCCATAGGGACACAGGCATATAGGGACACGGCCCCTAAGGACACGGCCCTATAGAGATACAGCCCTATAGAGATACAGCCCCATAGGGACACAGGCTTACAAGGACACAGCCCCATAGAGATACGGCCCCATAGGGACACATGCCCTGTAGGGACACGGCCCCATAGGCACAGACCCACAGAGCCCAACCCATTGAGACACAACCCCATAGAGACGGCCCCATAGGGACAGTGCCCCATAGGGACAGCCCCACAGACTGCCCCATAGAGCCCAACCCGTAGAGACAAAGCCCCAAGGACAGCCCCACAGAGCCCACCCCATAGAACCCACCCCATAGACACACGGCCCCATAGAGACGCATTCCCAACCTTGCCCCATAGGGCCCCCAAAATTGACCCCAAAGCGACGCAGCCCCAAATCAGCCCCTGCAGTGACAGGAACCCCAAACCGACCCCATAGTGACGCAGAGGCCCCGCGGTGCCGCGTGTGGGGTGACCCCATAAGGCTGTGACCCCACAGGGACCCACGGGGACAACGGCAGCGCCTTCGCCTTGGAGATGGCACAGAGCGGCTTCTCCGTTCACCCCCTGCAGGTGTGGGGTGGATTTGGGATCGGGGTTCGGGGTCAGGATCTGGGGGCAGGATGGGGGATGCAATATGGGATCGGGGGTTGGGGTTGGGGTTGGGTTCAGGATATGAGGTCGGGATGTGGGATCAGGTTTTGGGATTGATTGTGGAGATGGGATTTGGGGTCGGGATGTGGGATCTGGATTTGGAGTTGGGTTGGAATGTGGGGTTGAGATCAAGATTTGGGATGGGGATTTGGGGTCGGGATGTGGGGTTTGGGATTTGGGGTCAGCGATGTGCAGTTGGGATGTGGGGTTGAGATCAGGAATGGGGATTTGGGGTTTGGACATAGGGTTGGGATACGGGGTTGGGATTTGGAGTCAGGATTTGGGGTTGAGATATGGGGTCAGGATATGGGATTGGGATTTGGGGTTGGGATGAGGTTTGGGATACGGGGTTGGTGTTTGGGGTTGAGATTCGGGTTCAGGACTTGGGGCCAAGGCTTGAGATTGGGATATGGGATTTGGGATACGGGGTCAGGGATACGAGGTTGGAATTTGGGGTTGAGATCAGGATTTGGGGTTGGTGTTTGGTGTTGGAATTTGGGGTTGGGATATGGGATAGGGATGTGGGGTCAGGTTATGGGGCCAGGATGTGGGGTCGGGTTATGGGGCCAGGATGTGGGGTCAGGTTATATTGTCAGGTTATGGGGCCAAGATGTGGGGTTGGGTTATGGGGTCAGGTTATGGGTCTGGGATATGGGGTCAGGTTATGGGGCCAGGGTGTGGGGTCGGGATGTGAGGTCAGGTTGTTACTGTCAGGTTTTGGGACCGGGATGTGGGCTCAGGTTATGGGGCCGGGATGTGGGCTCATGTTGTAGGGTCAGGTTTTGGGGCCGGGATTCGGGGCCGCCCCGCGGCTGTGGGGTTTCCTGCCCGCATGTTGTGCTGTGGGGCCACGTGCCCCACACCGCCACCCCCCCCACAGGACGGGATCCTTTTCGGGGCCGTGGGCGCCTACGACTGGGACGGCGCGGTGCTGGAGGAGAGCAGCCGCGGGCGCAGCGTCCCCTCGCGGGAGCGGCTCCGCAGCCAGTTCCACACCGGGCCGGAGAAGCACGCGGCCTACCTGGGTACGGGGCGGCCCGAGGGCTGCGGGGAGCTGCGGGGCAAACGGGGGCTGGAAGCGCCGCACGGCTGTACGGGGTGGGGGTGCTCGGCGCTGTGGGGCGGCACTGGACGCTGTGGGGCAGCTGTGGGCGCTATGGGGCAGGGATGCTCAGTGCTATGGGGCGGCACTGGGCGCTGTGGGGCAGCACTGGACGCTGTGGGGCGGGGATGCTCGGCGCTGTGGGGTGGCACTGGGCGCTGTGGGGCAGCACTGGACGCTGTGGGGCAGGGATGTTCAGCGCTGTGGGGCAGCTCTGGGCACTATGGGGCAGCAGTGGGCGGTATGGGGCATGGATGCTCAGCACTATGGGGTGGCACTGGGCGCTATGGGGCAGCACTGGACGCTGTGGGGTGGGGATGCTCAGCACTATGGGGCGGCACTGGGCGCTGTGGGGCAGGGATGCTCAGTGCTATGGGGCGGCACTGGACGCTGTGGGGCAGGGATGCTCGGCGCTGTGGGGCAGCTGCGGGCCGCCCGCAGGTTACGCGGTGTCGGCGCTGCTCTTTGCCGACGGGCGGCGGCTGCTGGTCGGCGGAGCGCCGCGGTTCCGGCATCGCGGGGCGGTGCTGCTGTTCACCATGGGAGCCGGCGGGGCGCTGAGAGCCGAGCAGACGCTGAGAGGGGAGCAGGTGGGGCAACACGGCGGCGTGGGGCTGTTGTGGGGCTGTGTTGTTGGGGGCCGTTATTGGGGTTGTTATTGGGGCTGTTATTGGGGTTGTTATTGGGGCCGTTATTGGGGTTGTTATTGGGGCTGTTATTGGGGTTGTTGTGGGGTTGTTATTGGGGTTGTTATGGGGTTGTTATTGGGGCTGTTATTGGGGTTGTTGTGGGGTTAGGGGGTTAAGGGATTATGGGGTTATGGGGCTACGGCGTTATGGGGTTGGGATTGAAGGGTTGGGGTTATGAGGTTGAGTTGGGTTGGGGTCAGAGTTGTAGGTCTGGGGTTATGGGGTTGGGGTGGGGTTCTGAGGTGCGGGGCGCTGCGGGGCTGCCGGCTGTCAGCGCAGTGACGCGGCGGCGCGGCGCAGCTCGGGTCGTACTTCGGCAGCGAGCTGTGCGTGCTGGACGCGGACGGCGACGGCAGCAGCGACGTCCTGCTGGTGGCTGCGCCCAACTTCCTGGGGGAGGGCGGCAGGGAGACCGGCAGGGTGTACGTGTACGGTGTGGGGCCGGTGAGTGGGGCGGGGGGTCCGGGGGGTTACGGGGGGGTGGGGATGCGGGGGAATTGGGGGACGCGGTGGGGTTGGGGGGTGCAGGGAGGTTGGGGGGGACGCGGGGGGGTTGGGGGAACACGGAGGGTCGGGGTGCGGTGACACTGGGGGCACGGAGGGGTTGGGGGGCTGCAGTGGGGCTGTGGGGCTGCGAGTTTGGTGGGGCACCGTGGGGCTGCGGGTGCAGCGGGGCTGAGAGACGCGGTGTGGTGCCGTGGGGCTGCGGGGCGCAACGGGGTGCATTGGGGCAGCAGCCCTGTGGGGCGCAATGGGGGCAGTAGGGGGCGATGGGGCGCAGTGGGTTGCAGTGGGACACAATGGGGCAGCAGCGCTGTGGGGCGCAGTGGGGTGCAGTGCTGTGGGTCGCAGCAGGGCAGCAGCGCAGTGAGGCGCAGCGGGGCAGCAGCGCTGTGGGGCGCAGTGGGGCGCAGTGCTGTGGGTCGCAGTGGGGCAGCAGCGCTGTGGGTCGCGGCGGGGCGCAGCTCTGTGGGTCGCATTGGGGTGCAGTGCTGTGGGTCGCAGTGGGGCGCAGCTCTGTGGGGTGCAGCAGGGCAGCAGCGCTGTGGGTCGCAGTGGGTCGCAGCGGGTCGCTGTGGCGGCAGCGCGCCGTGCGGGCGGTGTCGGCGCTCTCCCCGGCGGCCCAATGGGACGCGCGGTTCGGCGCGGCGCTGGCGGCGCTCCCCGACGTGAACGGCGACGGCTGGGCGGACGCGGCGGTGGGCGCCCCGTTGGAGGACGGGCATCGCGGCGCCGTTTACGTCTTCCACGGCACCGCGGGAGCCGTGCGGCCGCGCCACGCGCAGGTGGGCAGGGGAACCCGGCGCCCAGCCGAAAACCCCACAGCCCCCAAAGCCCCGTAAACGCCATCAGCCCGCAGCCCCAGTAACTCCGTAGCCCCCAAAGCCCCATAACCTGCATGGCCCCCACAGCCCCCGGAACCCCATAATTCCCATAGTCCCCAAAGTTCCCATAGTCCCCATAGACCCCACAGCCCCCATAGACCCCACAGCCCCCATAGACCCCATAGCCCCATAACCACCATAACCCCCATCACCCCACAGACCCCATAACTCCATAGCTCCCATAACTCCACAGCCCCCATCACCCCACAGACCCTATAACCCCACAGATCCCATAACCCCACAGCCCCCAGTAGACCCCACAGCCCCATAAATGCCATAACCCCACAGCCCCCATCACCCCACAGCCCCCATCACCCCACAGCCCCCATCACCCCACAGACCCCATAACCCCTCGTCCCGCAGCGCATCGCAGCGGCGGAGCTGAGCTCAGGGCTGCGTTACTTCGGGCGCAGCGTTGATGGCCGGGCGGAGCCGGACGGGAGCGGCGTGGCGCTGGCGGTGGGCGCCCAGGGGGCGGCGGTGCTGCTGCGGTCAGTGGGGAGGGGGGGCGGCAGCGGGGCGGGATGCTGGGTGCTATGGGGCGGCAATGGGGTGGGATGCTGGGTGCTATGGGGCGGCAGCGGGGCAGGATGCTGGGTGCTATGGGGCGGCAGCGGGGCAGGATGCTGGGTGCTGTTGGGCGGCAGCGGGGTGGGGATGCTGGGTGCTATGGGGCGGGATGTTGGGATGGGGGTGATGGATGCCGTGGGGCGGCAGTGGGGCAGGATGCCAGGCGCCTCCCCACCCCATATGGGCACCCCATAGTGACAGCCCATGGGAGCCCCCCATAAGGACCCCCACCCCCGTCCCCCCCGGTTCCCGCAGCTCCCGCCCGGTTCTGCGCCTGGACGTTTCTGTCTCGGTGGTTCCGGCCGCCATCAGCGTGGTGCAGAAGAACTGCCGGCGCGGAGCGGCCGCCGCCGTCTGCATCCGCGGCAGCGCCTGCTTCCGGAGCGCCGTGCGGGGCCGGGGGGGGCGGGGAGACGTCGGTGAGCGGCGGGGGCGGACGGAGGGGGGGCGGGGGGAGCGGGGCCGGCAGCGCCGGGGGTCCCGCAGCTGAGCGCTATGGCGGCACCCGCGGTGTCCCTGAGTGACCCCGCATCGCCCCGTGGGGCAGAGCCGCTACACCTGGGGGTGTCCCCCCGACCCCACGTGACCCCCCGACCCCACGTGACCCCGCTGACCCTTCTGACCCCCGCTGACCTCAGCT